TAATGTTGGGAATACAAATGTCAAGTTAAGTTGTCTTTCTGAATAAGTTGAATTCTGAATGTAACATTGTAAGCCTTTAAAAAAAATTTTTTTGTATATGTGCATTATAACTGTTATCTTAAAGATATAGTCCATCATTTGTAATTTGTGCATTTTGTTCGTTTGAAGCAACAAAAGTGTTCAAAATCTAATGAAGGATACTGAACAACTAACCTGATGAAGTTTCAGCTCAGCTTCAGCTGTATATTCCGAGAAAAACAGCATTCTAGGATCTCACTTTCAAATCAAAAGTTGCTGAATCATGTTTTGAATTGCACCTATACGCGATGTCGCGCACTGATCCGACGAATTATAGCAACCGCGCGCGCCTGTGCGTCGTGCCAATGCTTGCGCGTGCTGTACCACGCCGAATAACAAAACGAACTACTCATTTAAATTTTCCTAAGGAGCGTCTTAAGACGCACCGTTGGAAAGGCCTTCTTTCGTTGATTACTTCAAAACCATAGCTTGCCGGAAAGATTAATTTCACAGGGAGTTTAATCCACTTACTATCTTTCAACCAAGTATGTTTTTCAACAATAATACGCCAGTTACTTTTTCGGATGGCTGCAAATGATGGACTATAGCTTTAAGAGGAACAATGAACAGGTCCCAATAAGTATTACTTCTTAAGATCTTAGACCATGTACTTGGAGCAATGGAATGACCAAAGTTTACTAGCATGTACTCTTGTCAAATGATTCCCTTTTGTTATTGTAAAACGATGGCCATACAAGGTTTCTATTTTTGGGGGAAGAATGCTTCACCAACACCTTATTATGCAAGTAGTTATGCTGAGCCTTTGTTTTTAATAATAGTGACTATTCTAGATGTATACATGTAGTTAGTGATTTTTACTGAGCCATCTCAGTTTGCGGAGCATTGCAGAGGTGACCTTTTATTTCCTCAGAATTTCCCTTTCACGGTGGGGCCAAGAGGTTCGATTTCAGTTGGGGTCAGGTAGAATGTGTTTCCTATGATATCTCTTTGTTGCCTAGATTGATGGGTCCAAAACATACATTTTGGTTCCGTGAACAATGTTAAGATCTTTTTTAGATAATCCACTGAACGGATACATTTTTACCAAGTTAGTAAACTGAAGAAAAAAATAGTTCTAATGTTTGTCATGTTGAGCTATTAAAGAACCATGTGCTACAAAAGAAATTATCAACAAATTGTACACTGTGGATATGCATGACATATTCCTATCAGTGATTCAATTCCCTTCAGACTCCCAAAGCACAGTATCAAAAAGAAAATTCCCAACAATTTCATTTCCCCCAGTATGTCACCACATTAACCCTCCTACTGTTTGAACAGTCACAGACAGTCAAAAAATCAATCCTCTTCCCCTGCCATGCCTTTTACACAGGCTGGTCACCAACAGTCAGATCATATTTCAAGCAAGCACTGTGACTATTTAAATTTAGTCAACAGGCAAGTGATAGGCCCAGCTGGCTTATCAATCACCTACGGTCAGAGCATAGCTGTATCAAGTTACATAAACAGTCACAGCCAGTCAATCCTGCTTTATGTAGGCTGGGAGCTCTAAACTGTTGAAAACAGGAGGGTTAATTAATCTGAATATGTCGGTGCACCAAAGATTTTTAATTTTTTTCCCAATTTGAGTGAGTTTTAATCCATTGAACATTCCCATCTTTATATTTTGATAAACTGCCCCACCCTGAAATGGGAATTCTGCATGTGGTCCTTTATTAGTAGTATCTACATTTAGATGTACGTGTACTTCACTTGCCAATCGACTATGCCTTTCTAGTGTAAGTGTGTGTGTTTAGCCTTTCAAAGACTTAAATGCGGGTGACCTATGTAAAACGGCCATGTGCTAATAATACTCAGTTATTGTGGTTCTTTTTGTTTGTTGTTTTTTTCGGTTGATTTGAATAAAGTCACTATATGTATTCAGTTGAGAGGCTGCCTTTGTGATGTTCTTTCAGGTTGATGCAGTAGTTACTTTCCTTGCCTTCCACCTCTATGGCCCAGGTTCGATTCCTGTCCTGGTCCACATGTGGATTGGGTTTTCAGTCCCTACCAGATTCCGTGGGTTTTCCCCAGAATACTATTGGGGTTTTCCTCCCACCACTAAAACCGTAATTTCTTGTCATTGTCTTCTCTAAAGAGTTTTTTTTTTTTCAGGCTTGCCAGCTTGCAGTGCCTTGGACGCTAATGCAGATTCCTTGGTTTCAGTACCAGAAATATAATAATAGTACATGTAGTTTGGGCGATTCACAATGCAGTGCGCCACCAAGAGTTTGCCATGGAGAGTCCATTTTTCAAATTTACGGTCGACAAAACATGGCCCATTTGAATGAGTGTCAGTAGACAACTTGAGCTTATTTGTTATAGATTGGGGCATAGCATTCTGCCGCCTTGCAAAAAAACCCACTATATATCATACGCTTACGAAACTACTGGCCGGAAAAACGAACAATTTCAAATGTCCCGCGCTGCGAATTTGTCGACCATCTCCCACAATGCACTGGGAAAAATGAACGCTCCTTGGCAACCTCTTGGTGGTGCACTGCATTGTGAATCGCCCGAATGGCAAACAATCATTTACATGTATGTACACTTTTTGAGTTGGACAGTCATTGAATCTGCGACACTGTTACTTCAAATAGGGCTGATTCATAAGTCACGGGAATTTCAGTGTGAAGCGAATTTGTCTGGGTAACAGCTTCGCTTTTTGTGACGCAAATTTTCAAAAGTTCCTTAGATTTGCATAAAAATACTCCCCTCCCTTCCTGCCCATAGTTAAGTTACATATCTTCATAAAAAAAAAAACACACACACTGATATCTTGATTTTTCAACAACTTGATTTTTTACCAACTTTTTCCATTTATTATAAAAAAATTCATCAGTGAAATCAATACCAGTGATTGATTTTTAAGAAAATAATACATTGGAAATCTTTTGAAGAAATAGCGACAGCAGGAATTGCAGAATACATGTACATTAACAAAAAAACATGTACCTTTTATAAATCAAAAACATGGATCTGCCATGATCCATGCATCCACATGAATAATGGATAAAGTGAAATACAATAAAATGTCTTCAAACAAACGAAATCAAAACTAAGAGAAGAAAATTTCAGTGTGACATTTTTTTTCCCTGACCCTGATACCTTGATACTTTGTAATTTGCCATTCATGCATCATGATTTTTCATTTGTTGGGTAGGTAGTTTGCTACTCATAATCACTCTTGGAGGATGACTGCATTAAGGAGTGCATCAGAATTATAAAATCATAGATGTCGGATGTAACAGGGACAGGGAAAAAAGTGGACCCCAAATTTCCAAAATGACCCACAGACAGGAACGGAGTGCCCATCTCTCTTTCATTAGCGATTGGGCCAGACTCATATGCTGCTGTGGGGGGATCGCCACACCTCCTCCACAGCGAGTCTGTTACCTTCCCAGCATTGAATAATGCCAGGACCCATTTAACACCTGGGTTGAGAGGAGTAATTGAGCTAAAGCGCCTTACTCAAGGGCACAACACGCATGGCCACGGTGGGGCTCGAACCCACAACCTCTCGATCACGAATCCTGTGCTCCACCGCAAGACCACATGAAACAAGTGAAGATCAAAAGGCTAAGAGACAAGTGAAGATCAAAAGGCTCGGATGCCCCTGGTATTTGAAATTGTGGCTTTCGCTGCCTGAATTTTACACCGCTAATGACAGAAGACTTGTTTTGAATTGTACATGAAAGCTTTAGATGTCGAGCAGTAGTCAGAGCCATTGAACTTGGTCCAAGTACTTCAGACGGTGCCTTGAGGCCTTTGAAATGGCACTCAATTGAGAGTCGGATCTAGAGGCAATATTTGAAATAAAGATTGTGATCTCAAAAGCTGACTGTTGTTACCCTGTGGGCAGGTATTCCACACCACTTCAGATCTTGTGAGTATATTGAGGCCGGTTCATACTTAATGCAAATGTTGGTGTGAACCAAATTTGTTCAAGTAACGGAGGACGTCGCAATGAAACTTCAGTTGTTTACGTCATGAAATTGCTTTACTTTCACATGGAGAATGAACCGGCCTTTAGGCCCCCCCAAAAAACGTCTCTGGTTTCTGGTATGCGCGCGCGTCGCAGTAGCCATGCGCGTCGGCAAAATTCAAAAAAAAAAAAATATCAATGTAAGATGATGTCTCAAAACCGCCAAACTCACTGGTTTGACTGGAATCCTGCTGCTGCACAATTTTAACGTGTTTTTTGATGGGGTTACGATCGAGTATAAGCTTTATGTGGCCACTCTGGGCTCCCATACATTTTGCACTAAATTTAGTCGGCCATCATTTGCAGTCATCGGCCGACATTTGAAGGAAAAAAAGTCAAAAAAAAAAAAGCTGCGTTGCTGCACTACTTTTGGGGCAAGCTCCATACCAGAAAATGGAGACTTTTTTATTTGGCCTTATAATGGATTTTTATTTTCATGGGGAGTTTAAACTTTTTTAAACATCCCTTCACGGACATTTCTGTTTATACCTAGTGCTAGCTCTCCGAAAGCTTTTATACGAGAAACAACTGCTTCACTGGTAAACGGAAATCATGGGTCAGAAATCAAGTACTTTCATGGGTTTGCTAAGCACAGAAGGTAGCTAATCTCAACAGGATACCAGTTAAACTGTTGCAGGATTTATCTTGTTTGAGACCGGTGCTCAGCCGATTTTTTTTTTTTTTTTTTTTGTTTTTTCACCAAACATATCAACTTCAGAACTGCAAGGTGTGTAATCGATTGCAAACAAAATGCAGACTAACTAAATATGGTAAATTGGCGGCAGTATTTGAAAAAAGCCAGTTTTTTTCCAATGCTGGTCGGCCAACCAGCGTTGGAAACGGATACAAAAATACCACTCTTCTAGAAAATGACAGCACACCAGTTGTCAAGATTTTACAGGATGCTTTAGACTGTCATTCACTAACAGTCCAGTAAGGTATTTCATAATAATTTGGTAGTTTTGTTTTTTGATGTTTGCAAATGTTGTATATTCCCTTTAAGCGATATTTTGACAGTAAGCAGCTGCATGAGATTAGGCACTGGTGCTCGTCCCTGTAGACACTGTGGGATCTAGTAGAAATGCTTCCTGTCCTTTTCCCACAGTTCCTTGACGATCTGCTCGTATTCTGTCCCTGGGAAGCGTTCCACAAATGACTGGACAATCCCGGCGGCCGTCGCCTCGTACTCCTGTAGTACAATCTCCCCTTCTGAAGAATAAAGTAAAGATCAAGGAAATGAATCAGTTGGAGAAATGTGCGATCAACTCTTACATTCAGTGCATATGTTAGCCTAGGTCAAGGCGTTCGACGATAGATTCCGATGATCAATGGTTGGCCGTGAACAACAGTAGCCGTACGCTATGCACTCACATATACTGCGCGAACAGCGACCTAATGTGGCTAGGCTACAATATGCAAATCAGCTGGTGCTGAACGAACGCCTTGGTACATGTGTGAGCCTTGGCTGAACAGTATGTGTTTCTTTATTTTGTCGCTGGATTTCCAGCGACGACCCCTAACGCAAATAAAGATGCGATTATCATTCAGTGCTTGGTCATGGAGGCTCATATTGTACATGGACAGAGAGCTGGATAGTGTGGCTACATTCCCTAACAAGTTTGAAGTCCGCAGACCAAAAAGAACTCGACATAAATCCAGGGACAAAATAACGAAAATTGCCCCAAAAAGATAAGCTGTGACCCACGGATGTTCCAAGGCATTCGTTCAGCCCCACCTGATTTGCTTATCTAGCCTAGCCATGTGAGGTTGCTCTTCGCACTTCGTACGGTACGTGTGATTGCATAGCGCGTGGCTACTGTTTTGTTGGTGGCCGACCACCAATCATTGGACTCTATCGACAGACACCTTGACCAAGGCTATGCATATGTGTAACTCTTAAAATCTACAAAAAAAATCTTAGGGTTAAGGCCAAAAAAAAAAAGTCTCCGGTTTCTGGTATGGGGCTTGCCCAAAAAGTGGTGCGGCGACGCGGCTTTTTTTTTTTTTTTACCTGATTTTTTGCTTCAAATGTCGGCTGATGACTGCAAATGGTGCCCGACTAAACTTAGTGCAAATATATGGGAGTCCAGAGAGGCCACATAAAGCTTATAAAGCTTATTCTCGACCATAACCCAATCTAAAAACACGTTAAAATTGTGCAGCAGCAGGATTCCAGTCAAACCAGTGAGTTTGGCGGTTTTGAGACATCATCTTTAATTGAAAAAAAAACTTTTTCATTTTGCCAACGCACATGGCTACGGCGACGCGCGCGCATACCAGAAACCGGAGACTTTTTTTTTTGGCCTAACGGCAAGTCTTTAACCCAAGTTGCTTTGGGTAAAATGTAGCAGTCCTAATTCCATTTTTTCTATAACCTCGGCTGAAGCACGCAATTTTTTAAAATAAATAGCCATTTATTCCGGGTTTGCTTTACACCCGTAAACCGGGGTTGACGACTTCTGACAATTGCCCAGCCATTAACAAAGATATTGACAATAATAGCATTGACCGGTAAGCTCAGTTGGTAGAGCGCTCAGGTCTGTTGTTCAGAAGTATGGGTTCAAGTCCTACTCCAGTCAATTTGTTTTCCCGTCAACCTTATATCATAAAACAAGATGAGGCAAGCCCAGTAAAAGTGGTCCAAGAACCCACCAAAACTCTATTCAATTGATTCAGAATAGATCAACTCTTAAATTCAGTGCATATGTTAGCCTTGGTCAAGGCATTCGATGATAGATTCCGATGATCAAAGGTTGGCCACGAACAACAGTAGCCGTACGCTATGTACTCACATCAGGCCCGGATCCAGGACAGGAATTTTTTAGACGGGGGGCACACTGTTGTAAAAAAAAAAAATCATTTGCTCCGAAAATTAATGCGAGCGCGGAGCGCGAAGCCCTAACGGCGTGGGGTCCGGGGCCCGCTTAAGGGCCCCGGGAAATTTTGGATTCTAGATGCTCTGTGGTGCAATCTGAGGCGATTCCTGGCTCCTTTCGACTGAATTAGTTCAGCAAAAGTTTTTAAGATAAGGATTTTTTAAAAACATACTCTTACTTTTACAAACTATTTTCCTCTTTATATTTTCTTGCTTTTATTTTTGAAAAGGAATTGTATTGACTTCGTTTTGTTAACTGTTGCAACGATGCGTTGTGACATTTGCTCCGAGGACTAATGCGAGGGTGGATCACGCCTGTCTTACCACGTGGGGTCCGGGGCCCGCTTAAGGGCCCCAGAAAATTGGAATTTCAGATGCTGTGTGGTGTATTCTGAGGGGACTCCTGGCCCCTTTTTCCCAGTTATTTGAGCAAAATGTTTTAAGATTACGAGGATATTTTTCATTGGTTTTATAATATACTCTTTCGTTTACAAGCCTTTTATTTTTGTCTGTTTTTCACTTGTATTCCAAATATTTTTGTCTGCATAGTTATTTCCGTGCTTATTTTTGAAAAGGAATCGTATCTTGCAGTGATGAGTATAGGGCATCTGCCCGAAGACCAATGCGTAGCGCGAACATCTTTCGGCGTGGGGTCCGGGGCCCGCTTAAGGGCCCCGGGAAATTTTGGATTCTACATGCTCTGTGGTGCGATCTGAGGCGATTCCTGGCTCCTCTTCCCCAGAGTTATTTGACTAAATTTGTTTAAAGATTATAAGATTTTTTCATTGATTAAAATTACTCTTGCTTTTTACAAGCCTTCTCAGTTTCTTCTGTTCTTCACTTGATACCATGTATTTTCGTCTGCATGTCTTCGTGCAATATATTTTGAAAAAGGAATTGTAAAAACTTAGTTTGGTAGCTGGTGTAAGGATGCTTTCTATTAAATGTTCTGTTTGAAGTTGAAATTTTCAGTTATATCAACAAGAACAAACCACTTGAACATGTTAATCGAATTCAAGTTTAAAATTAGTGTAATTTAATCAAACTTAAACAGAGGAGCAATTAGCCTCCATTGTAACTTCACAGCTCAGTTTTATCTCATGACTACAGAAATTAATCAAACGTCATCCAAGTTTCTCCCTCTTTTTTTGCATAATGTAAAATGCCCAAACATTTTAAAGAAATGTTCTTTTAATTCAGTCCAGTTTTAATTTCAAGAATAGGGCATATTACACGTGCATGTATTTGTAAATATACCATCGGCAGATAGGTGGAGCGGCAAGACAAATTGTGTGAGACATTGCGGACATATAATTGACATTGGGTCTTTCGGCGCCATGGTACAATTTTGAAGGAGTATTCGTCATTTAGTTATGTAAAAAAACATTGCAGTAAATAATGGTTGACAATAACGTTGAGAGGTACACATCGGGAATAGGTGTATACCTCCCGGCTGGGACACGGATGCCGGCCCGCGTCGCCACCGGCGAACTACGATCAAATTTACGTCGCTTGCAATTCAAAGAGCAACACACTTGCGTTTCGTCTAGCTTGCAAGAGCATGTCTTGAGTGCTGATTGTTTTTGTCCTAAGAACAAACAGATCTCTTTTATGTACCAAAATTATCAGATTTGTATTTTCTGCAACGCCTAGTAACGTCAAAACCCAACTTTTGGATCTCAACTTTCTTCGTTAAAAAAATGTTTTATTGACGGATCCATGACCTTCAGGGGTGTTTCAATTTTTTCAGGGTTTTACATCGTTTCTCGAATAAAGTCTTTACGAATGATGACGTGACGTTGAAGAAGTCAATTTAAAACAAGGACATGTTTTGGACTCCGTGAAAAAGTATAATTTGTAATTCAAAAGCGCGTGGAACTGCTGGCAAATTGTTCTTACTAAAACACACCCTTGACCAATGGTGTGGTCCAAAGAGCAATGCACAACGTGTGTTTGAGCTGCATGTTCGTAGAGAATAAATCGTGTACATGTACGTTCTTACGAATCGGTTTAATAACGGTATATGCAGGGTGGGATCGCGGTTTATTTCGAAGCTTCTCGAGTTGAGTACGCAATGTTTGCAGGCTCAAGTTTAATATCGGTATTTTGTCAGTAAGGAGGTTCCCTCCTCTCCTCCTTTTCTGTCACCTCCCCCTCTTTTTCCCCCTTCTATTTTTTTTTGGGACTCAAATTTGACGGGGGGCACGTGCCCCCGCGGCCCACCCCTGGATCCGGGCCTGCACATGTACAGCGCGAACTGCAGCGACCTCACGCGGCTAGGCTACAACATGCAAATCAGCTGGTGCTGAACACCTTGGAACATCTGTAAGCCTTGGCTTATAACATTTTTTTTGTCGCTGGATTTCCAGCGACGACCCGGTATGCGAATAAAGATGAGATTATCATTCAGTACGTGTGGCTACATTCCCTATAAACAAGTTTGAAGTCCGCAGACCAAAAAGAACTCGACATAAATCCAGGGACAAAATTACAAAAATTGCCCAAGAAACAGATAAGCCGTGGCCCACAGGTGTTCCAAGGCATTCGTTCAGCCCCACCTGATTTGCTTATCTAGCCTAGCCATGTGAGGTTGCTCTTCGCGCTTCGTACAGTACGTGTGATTGCATAGCGCGTGGCTACTGTTTTGTTGGTGGCCGACCACCGATCATTGGACTCTATCGACGAACACCTTGACCAAGGCTATGCATATGTGTAACTCTTAAAATCTATAAAAAAAATCTTAGGGTTAACGGCAAGTCTTTAACCCAAGTTGCACTGGGTAAAATGTAGCAGTCCTAATTCCATTTTTTCTATAACCTCGGTTGAAGCACACAATTTTTTTTTAAATAGCCATTTATTCCGGGTTCGCTTTACACCCGTAAACCGGGGTTGACGACTTCTGACAAGTGCCGAGCCATTAACAAAGATATTGACAAATAGCATTGACCGGTAAGCTCAGTTGGTAGAGCACTCAGGTCTCTTCTTCAGGAGTATCGGTTCAATTCCCACTCCATTCAATTTGTTTTCCCGTCAACCTTATATCATAAAACAAGATGAGCAGTAAAAGTGGTCCCAGAACCCACCAAAAATCTATTCAATTAATTCAGAATAGACCGATCCATAATAAGCCCCACACTATAATATTCTGAACAATCACAGCCGTGATTAAATGTCCGATGTGCGTCCACAAAAGTCTGACCTGCGTGCACATGCGCATGACGCGAGCTGCTGGAACATGCAGTATGGCATTAGAGAGGTTGGTTGCCCACATGCGCATGGGCGGGGCAGTACCGGTGATCATAAACGAAGACACTGCGCGGCTCACAAGTGACGGTCAGTGAGAAAGGTACAAAGAAGGCACGTACTACTCGGCTAGCCCTCTGGGACCAGCAAAAACAGCCCCGACTGAGAAGTCACCAACTCCTGTCCCACTTACCTGCATCTGTAGTGGTGTTGACCTGCACGAACATCCTGCGGGGCAGTTTCCTCGACAAGACCACCTGCCTTAGAGACAGGAATTGCTCCGCCGTGTCGTCGTTGACTGCCGAGTAGCCATCGTACATTGCCCTAGCACTGTCATAGTCGCCAGTAGATTTGAAGACCTGAAAGCATGGAATAAAACTGTAATGTACTTCCTTTTTGATTCCCCAAGTATAGACGCTTTGAAATCAGCAGCCATCTTAGCGGATTATTTTGCTATTATTTTATCTATTTATTTTATTTATTTAACTCTTATTTGAAGTGGAATCCACTGGTCTCCCATGGGGCCCAGTAAAGAGAAGACATCATGCAGAAATTACAGTTCTAGATGTGGGAGGAAAACCCCAGAAGAATATTTTGAGGAAAACCCACAGGGCAGGGACAGATAGAAAACCCAATCCACATATTGGTCCAGACATAACCCGGGTGACAGCGGTGGAAGGCGAGGAAAGTCCCTCCATGCCAACCTGACTCTCTAGGGGTTACAATGAATGCACGTCTGGGGTGCAACTCGTGCACATCCCTGTTGGACACACCTAAAATATGGCTGATACATGCTGAAATATCTGGTCGCTTGTACAGTATAGAAATAAAGCTGTTTTTCTGAGGTAATATAGAATGATTGAGGACAACGAACATGTTGAATGAGTCAGGAATATATGCATGAATGGACACACAGCAAATATTTGCAAAAAGAAACTGGATTCAGAGTCAGTCTCAATTGCCAGACCTTTTGCAAATACTTGGACACTTTCAGCACACTTTTTTTATCGAAAAACTATTATCTCTCTCCATAAGAAAAAGCCTGTGTAGTTATGAAGGCTTGATTCTTACTTCATACCAATGCAGATCAATCTCGGCTAACTTTTCCCAGGACTCATAGTAAGGCAGGAGATCGTACATTCACTGTTACAGCAGCTAAGGAGTGGAATGAACTTCCCTCCTATATTAAATCTGCTCCATCAGTGGATGTGTTTAAGAAGATCCTCAAAACATACCTCTTTCCCAATTGATGTATTATTGTTGTTTTGTTTGTATAATGTTTAATGATTTGTTATTATATTGCTCATTACTACTGTAATCGCTGTGATATAGTTATACTATGAATAGCGTACCTAAATGCATAATAATAATAATAATAATAATAATACCAACTTATATTTTGGAAGACCTGCTGGACTCAATGACGAGAAAACAAAAGAGTCCCATCGCAATGAAACAAGACAGTGGTGGCCATGGTCAGTGACTCTGATGGAATTTTACATCAGCGGTGATGAGGAAATTTTAATATTGGGTTAGGCCCTTCAACAAGGGGAAAAATGCAACATTAAGCAGGAACTTGAAGTTGAATCCTGAGGTACCCCATAAAACTTGTAAAAACCTGGAGGTATTCTCCCTTTACAAAACTTAATCTGAAAATGTTTGGCAAAACATATTAACCCAATAGCACTCATACTGTATTAGGCCAAAAAAAATAATAAGTCGGTCTCTGGTCGGCGCGCGCGTCGATTTTAATCATGGGCGTCAATCTTTTTTTTCCCCAAAATGTTCCGCGGTAGCTCCAACAGCGCCCTCTATTTCCGCACCTCCTCAATTTTTTTTACCAAAGAGCACCAAGGAATGGGAAATTGCACCAAGGCAAATGATCGAAAGCACCAAGGCAAATTATGGAGGACACCAATGTACATGAGGACACCAAAAAAGCGAAGTAGTACCCCACCTTGTCTGTACAATCCAAGCTTGAAGAAGAAAAAAAAAAAGCCGCATGGCCGCGTCAATTCCGGAACTTTGGTCTGACCAGAGACCGAATATTTTTTGGGGGGGGCCTTACATAGCCGGTACATATTATTATTCCTGATAAACCACAGAGAGCTTAGGCAATTTAGGGTGGTACAATTTGGGGTGAACGCTCGTTAGGACAATCATTTTGGAACTCTGCTTTTATATATTACTAGCCGGATGCCACACTTCGCGTAGCTAGTCAGTGCGCCCTCAATTGACGTGTCTTAGAGAAGGGGTTCATTATACAGTCAGGGGTGTGTTTTGGCAGTCATAACCAAGAATTGGTTCAGTGGTTTCTTGTCGGTGAATTTCTTCGGCAATTTTGATTGGGTTAGAATTACGCGTGATCATGTAGAACTCAAATCCCCAAAACAATTAACCAAAGAGAAACCACCGAACCAATTCTTGGTTATGACCGCCAAAACGCACCCCAGGTTTGGGTGGCATCCCACTAGCTGGTCAGTGCGCCCTCAATTGACATATCTTTGAGAAGGGGTTCATTATACAGAGTGTTTTCATTGATGTAATGTTGTAATATTTAACTATTCAAAGTCTGAAAGAAAAAAAAAATGCCAAAAAAAGCAGAACAAAACAATTTATAAATCACTTTTTGACGTGCCAACCGTGGCTTTAGAGGACAGTGAAATCAGAGTATATATACCATTTAAGGACCTGCATACAATAGCCAAGCCCCTCCACTGACCCTTGCATTTTGTGCTTCCGCACATGTATTCCAAAGGATTTTTTACAAAAAAAAGTGACACACAGACATCAGACATCCATCATACAGACAAACAGACAGACAGCGTAGGATTTTTTGATACAGGATGTGGAATTTCTGGGAAGGATATTGAGAATACCTGGAGTTTCCTGAGGAACTTCTCTATGGCTTCTTTGCCACCCGTCTCTATCTTCTGCCTGTCTAGTAGTACGGTTGCGTCGGGCCGTCCATCCTCACCGGTGTCCCGTTCAATGGTGACCAGCCCCTTGCCGGCCTCTAGTAGCACCCGCAGGATGACGTAGCGAGCTTGCATGTGAGCCTGTAGAAACAGCATTGGTTTCCATGGACAATAACAAGTTATTGCTAGCCCTCTTGCCAGATTTGGCAAAAAGTGACGAAGAAGGTAAAGCCCAGCGACTATTACCTGATTACTAAAAGATTACTGTCCAAGCTCTTTCATAGTTTCATCCCCAAAATTTGATGTTTTGAAAACATTATATTTTTTGTAAGCAAAACAAAAAAGTAACTTATTTTTTGAATGAAATACATGTACCAACTGAAAAATCAGCCCCAATGTAGTTGTGGAACAATTTCTGTACAAACATCGATTTTATTTTGGGGTCTACATTTTGTAACAATAATTGTGTTCTTTCCAGGCAGACTGGTTCCCATGCAACCTGATTTTATCAACCCGATATTAGGCCAAAAAAAAAAGTCTCCGGTTTCTGGTATGGAGCTTGCCCAAAAAGTGGTGCGGCGACGCGGCTTTTTTTTTTTTTTACCTGATTTTTTTGCTTCAAATGTCGGCTGATGACTGCAAATGGTGCCCGACTAAACTTAGTGCAAATATATGGGAGTCCAGAGAGGCCACATAAAGCTTATTCTCGACCATAACCCTATCTAAAAACACGTTAAAATTGTGCAGCAGCAGGATTCCAGTCAAACCAGTGCGTTTGGCGGTTTTGAGACATCATCTTTCATTGAAAAAAAACTTTTCATTTTGCCGATGCGCATGGCTACGGCGACGCGCGCGCATACCAGAAACCGGAGACTTTTTTTTTTGGGCCTTATCAATGATCTTTCTCAAAAAAGAGTTTTTTAGAATCTATCTTGTAGCTGTGTTTAGTCTGCGTTTCAACACTGATATCATTATGATAATTTTAATCAATTGTTACAAGCATGATCCAAGTTGTAACCTTATTATCCCCTCTGATAAAGTTGATAATTTCATTGATTTAATTCACACACCTGCCGCCAAGTCCGAGTCTCTGGCGTATAGAACTCCAGTGCTAGGAGCCCGGCCCGGACCATATTCAGCCAGTTGATGTAGAAAATGTCTTCAGCTGCACTGCCTTCATGGCCGAAGATTCTGTAAAAAAAACAAAAGTTCAACAATTCAAGCACTTCACAACGCAGAAAAGCTGCTATTGGAGAATCAGATCACAGTGCACTGTGGTGTGAAGTCAACATCCATGTGTAGCAGCAGCGTATCCAGCTTTTGATGTCAGAGGGGGCAACCGCACATCTGCACAGAAATGTAGACATGTTTTTTTTCTCCGGACACTTGCCCTCTTAAAATAAAAAAGCAGGGGGGGGGGGGGAGGGGCTAGTATCCATCTTCCAAATGGGGGCGCTCTTCAAAACTGACCATTATTATGCATACTACATATGGACATTATCACGGCGCATTGTAATGGTTGTTGAGTGGGTTTTCTTTGGTGGAATTGATGTCAGAAGAACTCTTTATACATTTATTTAAATCGTTGCTGACAAAAAAAAATTGTCAAAAGAAATCAAAGCAAAGTGCCCCCCCCCCCCTTCGAAACGCCACTGATGTGTAGACACAAAAAATACTCACTTTTCACAAGGGCAATAAGGAAGTGTAGGTGTTAAGGGCAAATCGAATCAGTTGCTTTTTTTCCCCCATTTTTTTTTCATTTGAAAGCAACAAAATTGCTCACAATCTTAAAGGGAATATACAACATTTGCAACGTCGAAAAATAAAACTACCAAGTCTTTATGAAATACCTTACTAGGATGTTGGTAAATGACAGTCTAAAACATCCTGTAAAATTATGGCACCTGGTGTGAAGTCGTTTTCAAGAAAATGGTATTTTTCAACTACTGCTCCAAATTTACCCCTTTTTTTCAGTCCAAATTTTGTTTGCTATTGGTTACATGTTCATTAACGGGTGCAGGCCAGCTAGACTGGTTCCCTTACCTTACAATTTTCCTGCATCTAATTGATCCATTTTATCTTTAGTGGAGTCAGGGAACCAGACCACTTGAACATTTTTGCTTTTCTTGGTTTTTTCAGCATTTTCGAACACATAACTTCAAACATGTTAGTGTAACAATATTTGATCTATTATTCTAACCCCCGAATAGTTCATTTCTAAAACTTACAGAAAAAGCCAATGATGTACATTCCCTTTAAGAAGGGTGTGAAACAACTAACTTATTGACGTTTCAGCTCGGTGGATACTATACATTTTGAGAAAACAGAGAAAACTTAGGCACAATTTTTGGGGTCTTTTAACTGGATTCCATTGCTGACACATGTAAACAAATTGTGTCTGCATGCACACTTTCTTAAAACCACCTTCAATGATTACTTTCTTCCAAATGAAACCATTTCAGGTAAATTTTTCGCAGGGTATTTAATACCGGTCCTATCTTCACTTTGAATTTTGAATTTGCTGAAATCAAGCCACTGCTGTTTATAAATGGATAGTGGAAATATATATACGCCTATATTTATTTATTTATTTGTCTTGGTTGTTTTCCTTCAAAGACTGAAGGAAAACAAAGAGATTTTTTCAAAACTTTTCTTGGTTTCACAATGTCCGTGATGGGACCAGGATGTACCAATTAAAAACTTATCTCATGTTCATGTAAATGAAGTAAACTTACAAAGTTTTTTTTTTATTATCTTATATCAAATACAAATTCATTATGTTCTGTTTATGATTTCACTTTAGAAGTCCATGAGAATCATTCAAGTAAAAAAATACAGCACTACACTTTTCTCATGTTTTTTCCGTGCCTTTTTGTCACATACCTGAGCTTATAGCTACCCCCCCCCCAAAAAAAAATCATGCTCAACTTAAAAATATAAGAACTTCCAATTCAGATGCGTGTATTTCAGCTCTGAACCAATCGTGCCAAAATAAATAATCTAACAGAATGTAGCATTAACTATCAGACTTACTTGAGTATATCCCTGCTGAGACAGAGATAGAGCCCAACGCACTCAGCGCGACATTCTTCATAGGATGAGCCGATGACTGGAAACTTACTGTCATAGGTGTCACTTGACAGATACCAGCTCTTGATCTGATTGGTCAAATATGAATTAGTCCATGTTTAAAGCCCTAGATGCAATTACATTGCGCTGCTTAACAGTTAGCAGAAAAGTTGTGCTTACTATAGCAGAAAATTGTGCTAACCTTAAAGATATAGTCCATCATTTGTAATTTGTGCATTTTGTTCGTTTGAAGCAACAAAAGTGTTCAAAATCTAATGAAGGATACTGAACAACTAACTTGATGAAATTTCAGCTCAGCTTCAGCTGTTTATTCCGAGAAAAACAGCATTCTAGGATCTCTATTTCAAATCAAAAGTTGCTGAATCATGTATTGAATCATGTTTTGAATTGTTTGCAACCGCGCGTGCCTGTGCGTCGTGCCAATGCTTGCGCGCGCTGCGCCGAATAACAAAACGAACTACTAATTTAAATTTTCCTACGGTGCGTTGGAAAGGCCTTCTTTCGTTGATTACTTCAAAATGATAGCTTGCCAGAAAGATTAATTTCACAGGGAGCTTAGTCCACTTACTATCTTTCAACCAAGTATGTTTTTCAACAATAATACGCCAGTTACTTTTCCGGATGGCTGCAAATGATGGACTATAGCTTTAAGCACTATTTCATGGCGTGGATGTGCAAACAGTTGCGCGCATGGGGATTTCCATTCTTGTGTCACTTAAAGTTAAGCAAATTTGGACTTGTGATTGGACTTAAGATTGGCCTTGTGATTGGCTTGTGATGGGCTTGTGATTGAACTTGTGATTGGGCTTGTGATTGGACTTGCGATTGGGCTTGTGATTGGACTTTTGATTGACTTGTGATTAGTTTTGTGATTGGACTTGTGATTGGTTTTGTGATTGGACTTGTGTGATTTGGCTTGTGATTGGGCTTGCAATGAGTTAGTGATTTAGACTTTTGATTATGTAGGCTTGTGATTTGAATTGTGATCGGGATTGTGATTTGACTTTTGATTGGGCTTGTGATTTGACTTTTGATTGGGCTTGTGATTTGACTTGTGATTGGGCTTGTGATTGGGCTTGTGATTGGGCTTGTGATTTGACTTTTGATTGGGCTTGTGATTTGACTTGGATTGGGCTTGTGATTGGACTTGTGATTGGGCATGTGTCTGGGCTTGTGTTTGGGCTTGTGATTTTACTTTTGAGTTCACATCGGATTGGATTGGATTGGATTGGATTGGACAAATGACTACAACTCCCCAACATGAGATAATGTGGTAGCATACATGTACATGTATAGCACAAAGACCCCGTTTCATAGATCTGCTAAATGATTAGATCTCTGCTGACTGTATACAGGTTTCATTTCAGAGCAGACACAGCTATTTTGCGTATGTTCCCTTACTGACCTTCTCTCCTGTTTCTGCGTGTTTGACATTCTCAATGTCAAAGTTGAAGTTTTGTTTCTCATCCTGAATGAAGAGCTTGCCACTACCGTGACCTAGAAGCTCATGTAAGCCAACCTGCACCTCGAAGGAGGGTCCCTTTAGATTGCTGTACAGCTCCTATAAACAAACAAAAACAAAACAAACATACAAACAATTAGAAAAGAACCATGGGGCATGTGTGTACCATCATGCTATGGGTTCAGCCTTCACACTGCCCACAAAATGAAGGGATTTCTGAAGAATCAAATCTCCTCAATCCCAGCCAAAAATTGCTGTTTCAAAACTTTCCCAATCCCATACTGAAATTCTTCATAATTCCAGGCTGAGTTGTTGAAGTCAGCACATTCAGAGATTAAAGTAGGGTGCTCCATGAGTGCCATCCACTTATTTCTATACTGAGATAATTTATCACGCCATGTTGACATATAACGGAGAGTAAGGCGACTTAATCACATAAATTATCTCGTCAAGTCGACTCCCCGAAGCCGAGATGACGACTTGTCGAGATGCATTATCTAGGCAAGTGGACTTCCCGAAGTCAAGATGACGACTTGTCAAGATGAATTATCTAGCCAAGTTGACCTCCAGAAGTCGAGATGACGACTTGCCGGGATAAATCATCTTGCCAAGTCGACTTAACGAATTCTAGATGACGACTTGTCGAGATGAATTATTTTGAGTTTCACCTCGAAAATTAAATTTGCTTTTCAATTGCTCTTTTTCTAGCAATTATAAAACTTATTCACTTTTGAATGAGACATCGGTCTCAATATCACTGAGACGTTATTCTGATGTCATCAAGTATGAAATTACAAGCGATTCTAGATCCAAAATCGACCTAAATTGTTAATACTTAGGGGTCAGTTCGGAGCAGAGGTTACTGATGAGGCTACCGTGTATACAACCATGCATGCGCTGCTCAGCCGATACTGATTCACAAGACTTTCTACCGGCTCCTCCATACAGCGCGAGTCAAAAAGAAAGTGACTGAATTTGAAAATATTTTTAAAATATTTGGCCTGCTCCATTTCATAACTGGAGCGCGCCATTTAAAACCACTTTTTAAAGCTGTATAAAGGCCTGCAAAAATAAACAAGCAAATTTATTTGTTGCAGGACATTATATTCCTTTTAATTTCATTCAAAAAAAGAAAATACACATTTTGAAAAAAAGCACATATATACCAACTTTTACCTTTCAAATTACAAAATTTTACAATCATGCGCTGCATGTTCGTCAAGCTTTCCAACAGCTTCTCCATAGATGATTAATTGCCATGCCCTTTGCAGCAAAGCAACAATACCTATTCATTGAAAACAACTCTAATGACATCATTAATCATCCTTCTTTGTATCGCTTCATGTGTAGAAAGGAAATAGACGAGTGGACTTTTTTGCATGTTTTATGAACATCAACAAAAGAGACACAACAGCCTGTGTGCGCCACATTTTGATGACATTTTCGGTGTCGGGTATTAGTTTCTAGCAATGCTATTCAATAATTTAGATATATCAAGTCAGTTTGTGAAATTAATTTACACGTTTCAAAATGTATACACAAACGTATTCACATTCAATATACCTGGTTAGTGAATGACAGTCTAAAGCAAACTGTACAATCATGGCACCTGTTGTGCTGACAATTTCAAGAAAAGTGGTATTTTTTTTATTAATTTCCACCACTGGTCGGCCAGCATCTTCCGGCTTATTAGTTGCTAATGTTGCTTTACACCATGGCGGTTCTACAGGGGCTAGGCCCCCCCCCCAAAAAAAGTCCAGAAAAAAAAAAAATTGCACTAGCAAATTTAAGAATGTGACATACATGCGAATGGTCTCCCCCTAAATAAATAGTCGTGAGAAGGGTGCATTTGTACACTTTCATTTAATATAGTATGCCTGATTGTAGGATTTTATCAGCGGTCCCCATTGAAAGTATTGCACGAGCTCTTTCCCCCCCCCCCCCCCCCCCTATTGATTTTCGGAGGCCTAACATTGCCTAATTGTCCGGAGAAAATAACCAGTCTACATTGCAGCACGCCTACCTGAAAAAAAATTCTGGATCCACCCTGCTAGCCCCACCCCCCCCCCCCAAAAAAAATATAGGCTCTAGAACCGCGCATGGCTTTACGGTCTGTTGACTATACGCCTACATGAAATATGATCTGACTGTTGGTGACGAGCCTATGTATAAGTTATGGGAGGGATAGTGGATTAAAGAGGTTGTGGAATGCTCGAAGACATTTCCGTCATTTTTTGGGTTTATGTAGCCTAAGGTGTGATGAAATAAAAACGACTATTGTTTCTGTCATGAAATGAGTACAAAGGGTACTTTTGAGTTTTGAGAGCTATTTTTCAGGTCCTGTTTCGACCCGAACGTGCAATTTGTGTAAAAGTCCTCGTTGCGGGCAGCAAACAAAACACAGTAAATCGTGACGTAATAAACAGGACTCGTTTATGCAACTCTGCATCGGGAGTCCTGTTTATTACGTCACGATTTACTGTGTTTTGTTTGCTGCCCGCAACGACGACTTTTACACAAATTGCACGCTCGGGTAGAAACAGGCATGACAGGACTTGAAAAACAGCTCTCAAAAGTACCTTTTGTACTCATTTTATGACAGAAACAATACTCGTTTTTATTTCATCACACCTTAGGCTACATATACCCGAAAAATGACGGAAATGTCTTCGAGCATTCCACAAGCTCTTTAAATTACTCTGTTACTAATTAAACTGTAAAAGAGTTGACCTTCAGACCAGGTAATTTGTCAATTTTCTAGAAATGTGTACATATATACGGTAATTGACATTTGATGGATGGATGGCTTCGAAAAGCCAACCCAACCACTCCCCTGGATCTGAATGGGGAACATTACCTGCGCTGAGCTGAGCTGAGCTGCAGGACTCACGAATTGCACTCATTATTTAAAGATGCACGTGTACAGCGTGTGACCACTGAGCTAGGAACACAACGCTGATGAAATAACTTTATGCTTCAGCAATTTTCTCATAAGGAGAACAAACAAAAAATTGTTTTTCAGCGCCGTGAAATTGTACTGAGTGAAGGAGACTGTCTCATTCCGTAACTATTATATTTGTTTTTGATAGGTTTTCCCGGCCAATTTCCGAATTTTTCTGATCATTTTCATTATTTGCCTTCAATTTCGCGTGATTTTGACACATGGGTCATTCCACGAAGTTGAGATACAAAGTGTGACATTGGGGTCAAATTTTCAAATTGCTCGTACAAGTTTTGTTTATGCATTTTTTGATAGCCCATACATTGTGGTTTAACAATTCATTCAAATTTAAGTCACATGATTTTGGAAAGTTGGTAAATTTGTGCACGATACATATTTACATATAATGACTATGGAGAAGTTGTGGATGTAACCGGATGCCACGTCCTGTTACATCCAAACCTTGTTTTGTTCATAATTAATACTTCAAAATACTTCAAATTCACACCAAACTTGATTTTATCATCAAATAGCTTCATTTAATAATATCCATACTTATATACTTTTAAAGACTGATAAAATTGTTATTTCCAACAACAAAAAATAATGGTTGTGGATGTAACATGTGGGAAACCACTACCGGTACATCACAATGTGGTATTCTTCACCTCGATATGAATGGAACTAAATGTTGTTTGTGTTTAGAAATGTTGTCCCCAAATCTCTGTTTCAAGGGCAATTTGCAGATTGCAGGTCATGATTTTCATACTTATTTTAGGCATGACCATGTCAACCAGTTGTGGATGTAACACGGGACACCATGTGCCCACAGGCATAAGATTTTCTTCATATTTGGCCAAAACGTTTATTTGCATAGACTACAATCACATTATTTTACAAATACCAGTTCAATCATGAGATATTGGGATCAATCCGACCAAAATTGCTGCAAAAAGAAAACTTTGCACAAGCCAGTTGTGGATGTAACATAATATGAAACACGGAACATATGTTACATCCACAACCCAATTGTGCATGCCATTTTGGCAAAACATTTTAACATCTGATATTTATTTTTTTCAATAGAAAGGGCACATCTTCTCGCTATAATCTGTGTAAAACTCAACTCCAGCCCACTTGTTTTCTTTTCAAAATGAGTTATTTTTGAACTATAGGTTTCTTTGTCACACTTTTTCCTCATTTTTTTTTAAATATCATCGAGCGTGGTATCATTTAAAAGCTCATCTTATAGCCTTATTGTCAAATGACATTTGTTTTTGAAATAACAGTTCCATAACTAAGAAAAAACTGTTTTATAATCAGACCTCAGGAAATTATGGCCTGTTCCTCAACTTCATGGAATGACCTACCGGTATATCAGATCAAATTGGGGTTTCTTTTCCATTGTTGGGGCATTTAATTTCAATTGTTGGCACTCAAGATTTTGTTCCTAATGTTCGTTTTCGTTTTGGGGCATTCTATTTCGTTTTGGTGCACTCAAGACTTAATTTGCAGCATTCATACATTAGGTTTTTGACATGCGGTTGACGCATTCAAATTTATAGCGAACGTCACTGGGCATATGACGTATGACCAAGTTTTTCTTTTCTTATTTGTTTATGGGCAGTCATTTCCATTGTTTGGTCATTCAAATTAATAAGATGTTTTAATTGATATTTTTGCTATTTTCCTGATTCACCTATCGATCTCTTGACATGTGAGACAAAGTGGTGTAATCAGGGGGTGGGAGTGCAGAGTGGAAGATTGCAATGGGCTAGACTTTTTAAAAGCGTAAACGGGAAGCTGATAGGAGCGAAATCGGGACAGCGAAATCGGCCTGTCAGAAAAATCGTACATCCTTCTGGAAATTTGCAGGGATGAACAGCGAAAATGTCCATTACTGTTTACTTTTAACAGTGCCCTCTAACTGAAGATGGTGCAAACCACCCTCTCCCCCGGTTTTTACAAGAATACAAAATGCAGGGATTTCCTAAAAGAAGCTTGAACAAATGTGAAAAATGAATGCCCAATCAACCCCTTACTGCTGGTTCAGACGCAATTGAATGAACAATACGTCACTTTCAATTTGAATACATCTTTTACAGGGACGAGTGAAGCTAAAAGACGATAGATTGCTCGGATAGTTGAATGATTCTTT